CAAAACAGACTTATGTCACCACGCTTGGTAGGAACATATCTTTTTATTTTAAAAAGATATAAAAATACCCATTTTTACAACCCACAATTAACCCCAATAATAGACATTTTATATCATATAAAAAGTTTAAATATAAAACTTATAAAAATTTCAAATCAAAAGATATCCGGATAAGATATCGCTTAAAGTTTATCCGGTTTAACACTTAAAATAATTTCTAACATATTTGTCCGGATAACAAATCCGGTCAATACCCCGCTTAAAGCTTGAACGATTAACACTTAGAAATAAAATCATCTTTTGTCCGGTTTAAAATAATCTGGACAACTCTCCGTCCACCCTTTGTCCGATTTAAAACAATCCGGACAACACGTTATTCACCCTTTGTCTGACTTAACACTAATCCGGTCACTCTTGTCCGGTTTAACACTAATCCAGTCACTCTTTGTCCGGATAAAACTTTAAACACAATATATGGTTTTTKATTCAAATAATAWATAACATTCAACTAAAAACCARTATAAATTTTTATGCYAAAAAGGTTTAGAAACCACTCACCTTAACAAGCCGTTTGAAATCAAACACTTGAAATCAACCCTTTTGAAATCTGATCAACTCTTCCTCTTAAAACACACAACTTTCTTTCTCAGAAAAAAATAACCAGAAGAAGAAAAGTGGGAGAGGGAGGGGCTTCACCCCCTTTATATACTCTCCAAAATTATGCATCCTACACATTCTCATACACACATACACATCCACCTCATGCATCCTACACATCCACCTCATGCATCCTACACATTCACCTCATGCACCCTACACATCTACCTCATGCACACATACATACTTCATGCACATATGATTATATAAATATATACATACCCATATCAAGCACATATATAATGTATACACACTCCACACACACACACACACACACATATATATATTTACATTATGCATATATCCCTATGCATAAAAATACACATACTCACATCTTAAATTTACGTAAACACGTATTCACATAAACAATTAATTCACATAATAAATACCTTGGGTGATAACCTGGACTCAGTTATCAGATTATCCACCCCTTCAGAAGAATTCCGTTCCGGAATTCCTTTAATCAAAAAGCCATGGGTATTATGATCTCATCTTTGATTCCAATTCCCATGTTGCTTCTGGTCCCTTGTGAAACTTCCACTGAACCTTTACCAGACTGATTTCTTTGTTTTTCAACACCTTGATCTTTTGATCAATTATAGCTTCCGGTGTTTCCACAAAATTCAGTTTACTGTCTAATTCAATCTCTGGCATTGGTATAGCTAGATTCGGATTTGCCAAACATTTCCGCAGATTCGACACATGAAAAGTGTTGTGAATTAGACTTAGTTCTTCTGGTAGCTCTAATTGATATGCTACTGGCCCAATTCATTTACATACTCTGAACGGCCCTACATACCTTGGACTGAGCTTTCCTTTCCTTCCAAATCTGACAACACCCTTCCATGGCGAAACTTTTAAC